GACAAGGGAGCAGGTGCAGGACCTTTCTCAAGGGGCTCAGGATGCTCCTGAGGCAGAGCATCCCTCTTGCACTTCCTGTGGACGTTTCAGCAGAAATCTTTCAAATCGGAGGCAGCCCCCCCACACTGAGGGCTGCCCCCCACCCCGTCCCGCCCCAGACCACCTCCCTCCCTGGCACAGAACCCGGCAAGATCGGCCAATCCCTGGTGCCTGGGCACAGTCAGCATCCCTGAGTGGTCACCAACGCGGCTGGCTGAAGGCTCCCTTCCCGTGCAGTGTCCCAACTTAGGGTCACCGAGCATTCCTTTCTCCCAGAAGGAAGACCCGGCGGACCAGCCTAGGAGCGGGAAGTGGCACACAGCAGTGGCGTGCCCCTAGCCCCGCGGGGTCCCCCACCCTGAGACGGCCGGACCAACAGACAGACAGACAGACACAGATGCACACACCGGGAGCTGCCTCAGAGCAGCACACACGCGGCCAAGCCGCTACATGCCTGTCCATGGCTGCCCTGGGGAAGGAACAATAGCAACGGGGCACTGGCCTGGCCAAGAGCCCCCCCGCCTGCCGCACCGTCCCGGCTCTGGTCCCGGCCCCGGCCCCGGCACCTACCCGCACTCCTGCAGGGACCGGAGACCGCGGCCACCACGCCGCTCCCGCCGCTCCCGCCGCTCCCGCCGCTCCCGCCGCCGGGCTGCACCGGCTCCTGCACCGGCTCCTGCACCGGCTCCTGCACCGGCTCCTCCCGAGGGCGGCGGGCACGGGGCGGGCGGTGGCAGCTCCTGGCCGCCGGGCGAGGCAAGCAGCTCCTTCCCCAGACAGAGCTCCTTTGTGTCCGCAGAGCTATTTATGGACTTACCCAAGTTCCCCCGGGGAGCGGGACCTGCTGGGAGAAGCAGAACCAAATGACCAGGTTCCACCTCCCACATCTAGGTAGCGTTTTCAAAACCCTTGCATCACTGGCTCCTCCTCCTCCTCCTCCTCCCTCTCCTCCTCCTCCTTCCTCTCCTCCTCCTCCTCCTCCCCAAACACACACCCTGTCCAGCAGGCTGCTGCCGCAGCTCGGGATTTCTTTCTTCCATTAAAGAAAACTCGGATTCCCCAAGCCACTTCCCCCCTCCCCGGAGGAGGAAGAGTGGGGTGTCTCAGGAAGTGTCCTGTCCTCAGGCAGCCGGTCCTTCAGCCTGCAACGAGCCCGGGCTCCGGGGCCCCACGCTCACAGCCACACTCACACTCACAGGCACGGGCCCTGGCTCCCCTGGACCCGCCCCCTGGGGCCTGGGCTGGCCCCTCAAGTGCCGCTCCGGGAGGGGAGAGGCACCCATCGCTGACGGTGGCAGCCGCTGACACTGGGATCCCCCAGCCGGAGCACCCCACGGGTATGCTGAGGGGTCCCCGCCCCTCCTGCCGCTGGGGCGGTGCAAGGCCACTCCCAGCAGGATGGAGCCAATCGCCTGGGCTTCCCAGCACACCCCCACCCCCACCCCCAGCGGCTCACACCCCAGTAGGCCGCTGCAATTTAACCGAGGGTCCTGCAGCCAACGTGCTGCTGACTCGGAGAATGTCACCGCCTCGGGATGGGGGAGCAGCCGGCTGCTTCAGATCAGCGCCCAGCGGCACCATCCAGCGTGGCCGGAGCTTAGCCAATGTTTGTGTGTCAAACTCTGGACAGAAGGCATGGGACTTCCTCCCCCACAATGTGACCACTGGGAGGAGCACATTACAACAGCTCATGAGTTAGGGCGACAAGTGAAGGAGACATCCATGCCTCACAGAGGGACCATGGGGAGCAGAGGAGAGAGCCCCGAGCTAGGAGGCAAGAGCCCCCAGATCCTGTTCCAGCCCCAGCACTGATGGGCTGGGTATCACTGGTCAAGTCCCTGCCAACCCCTGAGCCTTGGTTCTCTCATCTGTAGAATGGGGCTGACGACTCTTGACCTGCCCACCTGTGGGATCCAGAGAGAATTCAAGGATCCCATGCCAGGCATTATTCCCAGGACTTGGCCTTCGTTAACTCGCGTGATCCTCACCAGCACATTGTGAGGCAGGGGCTGTTCTTACCCTACTCGTAGATGGAGAATCTCAGGTACAGGATGATAGTGAAAGTTGCCCAAAGGCACACAGCTAGTTGGCTGTGAAGCCAGGAGTGGAGACCAGTTGGGCCAACTCTAGGGTGCCCGCCCCTAAGCCCTGCGTAGCCCACTGCTGCGGGAAGCTGCTTGGCCAGCACCAAGCTGTCTGATGTCGTGGCCAACCGCAGTTGGTTGTCTGATGTCAACAAATGCACTCGTGTTGTGCCTGGGGCCCACGCTAGGGGTGCCCCCACCCCAAGGCAGCTCCAACCTGAAACTGCTTATGACCAGAGTGGCAGGCACACACGGGCTCCGTCTGCCTCTTTCCCACCTCACCCTGCGATGGCCCCCGGGACTGAAATGCTGTCCTGTGCCTCTTACTCTCCCTGTGTTCGTCTCAGTGTCGCTGAATGTCTATCTCCGCCCATCTCCTTGCCCGTCTCTGGCTCTATTCCTGTCTTATCTCACACATACAAGCACACGCACGCATGCAGGTAGAAGAAAACATCCCATAGCAGGGTCGACTTGGAACAGCCCTCATCTGAGCAGGTCATTTACAAATTCCAATCAATACTTTGTCTTGTCGCTGGGGGCAGAGCCAAGGCAGTCCTGGCAGGGCCCAAGAATCTTCCAGATTGGAAGATTGTCATCCTGCAGGCTCCTGGGAAGCAGGAACCACCTCATCCTGGGAAGCTAAGAAGGTGAGTCTCAAGGGAGTCCAGTATCAATGGGGCTGCCCAATTTCCACTAGGGCTGAATTCCCAGTGCTTGGGATAAGACTGCTTAGGGTGAAGAGCTTGAATGGGGGGGTTCCTTAACACAGGAGGAGCCCCCGAGTTTCAGCTGGGTCTTCACCTCTCAATCAACAAATAGTTCTGAAGCACCAACCACACGCCAGGCTGTGTGCTGGGCCCTCGGGATGCAGTAGAGAATTGGCAGCCCCGAGCCCTGTACGCACAAAGTTTCGGAGGGACACACACCAGCCACACAGCCAGACTTGTGAGTGAGTCTGTAATTAGACACCATGCGGTGATGGGCAGAGCCGCTCCGCCAACCCAGGGAGCGGGGTCCAGGACAGACGCAGAATGCGCTCGTCAATGCTCTGGACCACGAGGGTAATGAGGAAAGGGCCCAGCAGTCCGATGCCCAGAGACCCAGGAGCCTGCCAGACCAGGTAAGGGGGCCCACGCAGCCACTGCCCTCTACCTCCCCATAGCCGCAGACACAATCAGCCAAGTCGGCGGGCCTCCCCGTGGGTAGCCTGGGGCAGGAGGGGGATTCACGGAGACTCAGGCTACCTCAGCCAGAAGGGCCCTGGGTGGGCTTCCACGGCTGTTTCCCATTTATAGACAGTAAAACTGAGGCTCAGAGACGGAAAGTGACTTTCCCAAGGAAACAGAGCAACAGAGTGGCAGGGCTGGGACCAGGGATTGCTCACTCCCGGTCCAGTGCTCCTTCCACTACACCTCAGTGCTCCTCAGACCTACCTACACGATGGTGCTGTTCAGCACAGGAGGACCTGGGATCCAGAGAACAGGGAGGTCTCGGTGGCCCACAGGCCATGGGGATCGGCACATAGGCACTCAGGTCCTGTGCCCCATTTACTGATGCCCATATTTCATTTAAGAGACATTCATTTGACACTTCCTGTCAGAGCACTTCCCAATTATTGACTCATTAAACCCTCACAGCCCTATTGGATATGATGTCTAATGTCCCCACTTGACAAATGAATAAACAGAAGCAGAGGGATTTGGATACTTCCTCAAGGTCACACACCAGTAAGTGCAGAGCTATGGGCCAAGCCCAGTCCACCCTGCACCATGTCCTGCACCCCTGCGCAGGGCAGCCCCGTGCAACAGACGAGCCCCCCAGCTAGGTGCGAAGCTGGCTGGCTTTACTGCCCAATCAGGCAGGCAAAGTTCTCACTGTTCAGATAGGCTGGCAGCCGCTCCCAGGGCTGGGACCTGTGAGGGTCAGCAGGAAGTCAGTGTGTATATGTATCTGCCGTTTCCGGGGGGCAGCACCCCTAGCCAAAGCCCAAGGCTCCAGAAAGGCCCTTAGGGCAATTCGGCAGCAGTAGGATGCAGGCCAGGCAGCTGGGCAGGCCAGTGCCCTGAAGCTGTACCATGGCAACGCATCCTCAAGGAAAAGAGGGCACTTGCCAAAGGCTACTTAATAAGTTTCCCCGTCCTGCTTTCCGATCCAAAGTCCACTGGGATTTTGTTCTGGGTTGTGGAGGAGGGAGATGCTGCTATGGCAGAGACTGGGCACAAGCCAGGGAGAGGTGTGGTCCCAGGAGGTTCCAGAGCATACGACAGACTAAGACCACCGCAGTCCCCACTAGCAGTTGCTCCGGCTTTCATTCTCCCTGGAACATTCCCACTGGAGAATGAAAGAGTCAGGTCTGTGCTTGGGTGTCAGGGCAGTGAGAGCCTGGGCCAGGGTACGCTGGCTCGATCCTCTACAGAGCCCTGCTCCTGCCCCATCCTCCTAGAGAAGAGTATGACAAGCCTGGGTGGCCTCAGGAGACTATAGAATTATCTGCACACCCTCACCCCAGCCCGAGCTTTAAATCTGCTAACCCACTTAGGAATTTCTGGGCCTTTACTCAGTGAGTCTCACATCCCTGGTTTAGAGGTCTATGGGTTGCGTTCAGAAAGGCCTCGCCACAGAAGAGTCAGCCAAGACACATTTATCTGTTATTTCGATAAACACTGAACCCCTACATGTGCTGGAGCCTGTGCTTGGGGCTATGGACACAGGCAGGCAGGGAAGCAGCCCCCTCCCAGAGATCTGAGCTGGAGGGTGAGCATCGCTGACCCTGGCGCTGACGCTGCAGGCAGGAACTGTCCTGCCGTGTTCTGGCCTCTGTGACCCTGATGCCAGGGTAAGGGACTTGCTCTCCCACTGCTTGCTAAGAGCACGTACCTGGCTCTTCCTGGTGGCACTAGCCTTGTTCTTGGGGCATGTGCTGCAAGTGGTGAGGTGGGGCAGGTCACAGCAGGTATTCCTCAAGTTCAAGTTCATGGGGGATTCTGCAGAACCCAGGTGAGTTCCTTCCTCCTTAGTGGCCTCAGCTTTCCATCCCTAAAACAAGCCAGAGAGGGGTGTCCAGGGGGCCCAACCCAGCTCCCCTGCCCCTTTCAGAGACCAGTCCCAGGTCCCTCCGGGCTCTCTCATGAAAGGAATGAGTTCAGCCCGTGGAATTCAGAAAGAGCACAGGCTTTAGAGTAAAAAAAAAAAAAAAAAAAAAAAAAAAATCTGAATGTGAGTTACCTTGGGCAAGTTTCTAATATATCTGAGTCTCAGTTTCCTCATCTGTAAAATAGGGCTATTACCAAGTGCCCCACTGCGCCCAGTGGAGGACCAAATGAGGTGGTGCAGGCAAAGTACCCAGCACACAGCCAAGTGTGTGAGGACAAGTAAGTAGCAGCACCATGGCTACTGTGTCGTCATTGCTGTGGCCATCCTCTGAAAAGGACAGAATTCACCTGGAGAGGGCTGATGTGAAGAGTCAAATGTGAAAGTATCTGCTGAGCACAACAGAGGAGCAGGGCCTAGCATGGTACCTGGCATGTACTCAGAGCTGACAGTCGTTCCCATTTATTGAGCAACAGGTCCACCTTACAGAGGGGGAGACTAAGGTACGGAAAGTTCCCACGGCAGAAACAATGGCCCCAAGGCTGATGCTCTTCACCTGTGCGCTCTGCCCGCAAGTCCTTCTTGCCATCTTCCTCTGCCTCAGCAGCTTCAGGCATCAAGGGCAATTCCCAATCTGCTCCCAGGAGCTCGATCTCCCAACCATAGCGAGGAGAAGCCCATGTGTGGTGAAAGCCAGGAGACCAGATGTCCACCTGCAGAGCTGAGCCCAAGAACTCTCCCTGGCTGGCTTCTGCCTCCAACCTGGGCAGGCACACATCGCTGACGCCTCGGTAGCAGCAGCCTGACCTGAAGCAGCTGCAGAGGTACGGGGTGGCCAAGGGCCAAGACCATCTGCCTTCCTGGCTGCAGTTCACCCAACCACATGCAGGCCAAAGATTTCAGGCTTTGGAGAGCAATCCTCAATTCACTGCGCCTGTGCCAGCTTTGGGGTCAGGCAGGGTCCCGACTTACCGAGTTCCTGGCTGGCATTCAGCACAGAGCCACCAACCCAGATATGTGGAGGCCGGCCCTGTGACCTTGGCTGCTAGATACAGCACCTCCCGAGTCTACTCACTGCTCGGACTGCTGGGCTTGGGCTCACCACAAAAGAGGGTCAGCGGAGTAAAGACGGGACTGAGATGCTGGCTTTGCTGCTGTCTTCTGTGAGATCTAGGGCGAGACCAATCCGCTCTCTGGGCCTCAACTTCCCTGTTTCTAAAATGGGCCCTGGGATCTGACTGGGTCAGTGCTACTCAATGTGGTCGCAGAATCGCGCAGATCCACAAACTTCTTGTTGCTGCTTTGCCACGCAGTGAACAGCAAAATCAAAAGTTTGGAAAGTTTTGTAGCCATTTGACATCTCCATGATACCCAAGCGCAAGACCAGTGGACTGCTCTTACTGAATAGGGCACAAGGCTGGTTCAGGTGTTAGCACACCAGAAGAGAAATCATGGTAGTGTGAGTTTTATGAAAGCATAAGGCCCTTTACCACAGGTGGCTTAAGAAGCCCTGATCTGAAGGTTCTTGTTTCCATGAGAACCCACTAAGGAGGCCTCCATCACAGTACCTGCACCTGCAGTGGGATTCATGAACCTGTCACCCAAACTGTCCCCTCTCCACTGCTGCTGCCTTAGAAAATGTCACCACCATTCACCTGTTTGCCTGAGCCAATAGAAGCTGAAAGAGCTTATCTGGTCAGTACCAGGAAAAACCACCAGGGAGAACAAACAGCTAGAAATGATCTGGTGACATTTCTAAATTCCAAAGAATGGAAAGAGAAATCCTGCTTGTTTCCATAAAGAAACTTTAAAGGATCAACTGAGTACGGCACTTCTTACAACACTAAATGCTGGAATGCCAGAGCATCGCTCTCAAGTTTCTGGAGAAGAAGGAGTGCTAGCCTAGAGTTCTCTACTTAGAGAAAGGATGACTCAAACATGAGGGCAAATATTTTCAGACTTAGAAAGACTAACTGTGCCACCCACAGACCCTTTCTGGAAAAATTATTCAAGAGAGCTCTCCAGAAAAAAAAAAAATGAATCCAAGTCAAGGAGTCAAGAACGAGATGGTGTGGTATCTGAGAGACGGGAGAGCAATGAAGTCAGAAACATTTATACACTTAACCACTGATACCATAATTGAAGAGTTAAATGCAATTTAAATAAATGACTCTTAAAACATAACAGGACTAATGTCTGAAAACGATAATAATCAGAAACTAAAATTCCAGATGATTTCAACCATCCCTGGGAGGCACAGAGGAAAGCAAAGAGAAGTATAGGTTAGCTGACACATTCACTAATGGGTAGTCGGAGGTGAGGATAAACTATTCTAGATCTGGTGTCATGCCTGATATTGAAATATGTTTATGGAAAAGGTAAGGGTAAAACCTCTGGCAGACTAGAATTCAGGGGTAGAATTTCAGAGGAGATTTTGAGGAATAATGGGAAGGCAGCCTTGGGATGTATACTACTACTGCTACCATATAGCTGTAATTAATTAAGTCTTAACCTGCTGTAGGAATAGACATATTAATGAGGAGGAGGGGGTAAAACTTAAAAAATAAACCATATAGTTTTTTTGGGGGGTGAATATTATATAATCCTGTGGTAAATACCACAGCCCCAAAGGCAAAAAAAAAAAAAAAACTTTAAAAATTTATAGATACCATTAGTCATCAGAAAAATGCAATTCAAAACCACAGCAAGATACTACTTCAAACCCACTAGGATGGTGTTGGGTTTTAAAATGGGAAAATAACAGTGTTATCCGAGAGGATGCGGAGAAATTGGAACCCTCATACACTGATGCTGGGGACATAAAACCATGTAGTCCCTTTGGGTAACAGTCTAGCGGGTCCTCCGAAGGTTAAACATAAAGCTGCCATTTGATCCAGGGGTTCTAGTGCTAGGTGTATGTTCAAGAGAAGTGAATGCATATGTCCACACAAAAACTTGCACGCAAGCATTTATGGCAGCATTATTCAAAGTAGCTAAAAGGTAGAAAGAACTCAAACGTTCATCAACAGATGACCAGACAAATAAAATGTGGTATATCCAGGGATCCATCCATGCATCCATGAAATATGATTCAGCCACAGAGAGAAATGAAGTACTGGCACATTCTATAACATGGATGGACCCTGAAAACATGACGCTGAGTGAAAGAAACAGCCACAAAGGCCAAATATTATAGGATTCCATCCATAGGAATTGTCCACAATAGGCAAACCTATAGAAGCAGAAAATGTCTCAGTGGTTGCCTTGGGTTGAAGGAGATGGGGGGTGGGGGTGACCGCTACAGGGTATGGTTTCTTTTGCAGATTCTAATATTGAATGTGGTGATTATTGCACAAGTCTGTGAATATGTCACATTGAATTATATACTTTGAATAAATGCATTCTATGGCACAAAAATAATATCTCAACAAGCTGCTACCAAAACAACTTACAGACAAGACTATCTATCAATCTGAGACATCTGTAGTTTTAAGCAATAATAAAAAAATAAAAAATAAAATATCCTTATTAGGGGATCCCTGGGTGGCTCAGCAGTTTAGTGCCTGCCTTTAGCCTGGGGTGTGGTCCTGGAGTCCCGGGGTCAAGTCCCGCATTGGGCTCCCTGTGTGGAGCCCACTCCTCCCTCTGTCTGTGTCTCTGCCTCTGTCTCTCTGTATCTTTCATGAATAAATAAGTGAATAAAATCATTAAAAAAATCCTTATTATATAAAGAGCTCTTGTCAACTAATAATTAAACTGTAAGTAGCCCAATTTTAAAAATGTACAAAAGACTGGAACAAACGACTCACAAAAGAGGCAACATAAGTGACTAAAAGGCAAATAAGTAAATATTTAACATCTCTAGTAATCAGAGATGCCCGGGTGGCTCAGCGGTTGAGCGTCTGCCTTCGGCCCAGAGCGTGATCCTGGAGTCCCGGGATCGAGTCCCACGTCAGGCTCCCTGCAGCGAGGCTGCTTCTCCCTCTGCCTGTGTCTCTGCCTCACTCTCTGTGTCTCTCATGAATAGATAAATAAAATCTTAAAAAGTTTTATTAAACTTTTTTTTTAAACTTAAAAAAAAATCTTAAAAAGATCGTCTCTCTCCCTGCCTGTCCCTTTCCCTGCTCCTCTCTAAAAAAATTTAAAAATAATAAATAGAGGCACCTGGATGGCTCAGTTGGTTAAATGTCTGCCTTCAGCTCAAGTCATGGTCTCATGGGTCCTGGAATGGAGCCCATGTTGGGCTCCCTGCTCAGTGGGGAGTCTGCTTCTCCCCATGCTCATGTTCTCTTTCTCAAATAAATAAATCTTTTTTAAAATATAAATAAATAAATAAATAAATAAATAATAAATAAACAAACAAACAAACCTTGGTTTCAGCTCAGGTCATGATCTCAAGGTCTGGAGATCAAGCTGTGCGTCGGGCTCCATGCATAGCGCAGAGCCTACTTGAGACTCTCTCTCTCCTTCTCCCTCTGCCCCTCCCCCTGCTTGTGCATGCATGTGTGCTCTCTGTCTCTCTCTCTCTCAAATAAATAAATAAAATCTTTAAAGTACTGACCATAAATCAGTACAACCATGCCAGGGAGTCATTTAACAATAGGTAGGTATCAGGAAACTTTTTTACAAATACACACCTCCTGCTTGGAAATGCTACTACCTGGAATTTATTCTTTTTTTTTTTTTTTTAAGATTTTACCTATTCATGAGAGACAGAGGCAGAGACACAGGCAGAGGGAGAAGCAGGCTCCATGCAGGAAGCCCAACATGGGACTTGATCCTGGGTCTCCAGGATCACACCCTGGGCTGAAGGCGGTGCCAAACCACTGAGCTACCGGGGCTGCCCCCTTGGAATTTATTCTAAAAAAAAAATATTCATTTATTCAACAAATATTTGTGGAGGGTCAAACATGTACACTGGATGATGCTGGGGATACCAAGATATG